AAATGGAGTCATTTGTTTCTATCAAAATAATATATTTTAAGAGACTTAGCGTTAGTCTATGGTTGGTTCGACGAGCGATTAAACGTACTCCCTACGGTCGTATTCATGAAGATTCTTAATAGAGTGATTAAAGTTTTTTGTGAAAATATACTGAACAGCATTGAAAACGCACCACCATGAAAATGGATGTATTTTTATCCGGGCTTTAGTCATATGAAAATATATAAGTGAATGAGTAATATACGACGTTCTGGACGAAGCATGAAGAAGAACAGCTCGTCAAAAAACATTCCTAATTTTTTTGTGAGCGACATCGCCAAAACGCAACAAATTGAGTGCACATCATGGAAAACGTGTTTTGTTTCACAGGAAGCATGCAGAATAGGGCTATAAAAGACAGACTTTTAAAAGCCACATCACTTGTTGCTGCAGACGTAAAGGGTACTGACACAAGAAATGCCAAGATTAACAGCAGAGGGACGTGAACGTGCCTTGGGCATGCTTCAAGTTGGTACGTCAAGTAGAGTCGTTGCACAACGGTTTCAATGCCATCATTCAACAGTCCTCAGGCTACTGAGCAGATACCAGCAGACAAGAACCACCAGAGATCGACCACGTCCGGGTCAACGTCGTGTAACTACACCACGTCAGGATCGCCATATTGTTCGTCGGCATCTTCGAGATCGTACACTTCCGGCTACCAGGACTGCAGCAACCGTACAAGGCCGACGGGGTTTGATCAGCGCTGACACCGTACGTCGACGTCTCCGCTCAGCAGGGCTACGTGCTCGACGTCCATATGTTGGACCCATACTCACTGATCGACATCGAAATGAACGTCTGCGTTGGGCGAAAAGGCATCGTCATTGGAGATTGCGGCAGTGGCATAGTGTGCTGTTCTCTGATGAGTCTCGTTTTCATTTACGGAATGCTGACGGTCGACTGCGAGTGTGGCGTCGACGTGGAGAACGTTACCACAATGACTGCGTTGTACAGACAGATGGATGGGGGGGGGGGGGGGGGGGGGAGGGGGGGAAGGGGGGGGGGAGGGGGGGGGGGGGGAGAGTGTCATGGTGTGGGGCGGCATCAGTCATAACCATCGAACAGAGCTCCATGTTTGTCGTGGAAGAGTTAATGCCTTTACTACAGGAATAACATACAGACAAATCACGTCACCCCATTTTTTCATCAGCACCAGGATATGCACACCTTCCAGCAAGATAATGCAAGAGCGCACACAGCACGTGTTTCAACACTGTACCTAGCGAACAATAATGTGCCTCTGCTTCCATGGCCAGCCCTGTCACCCGATCTATCGCCAATTGAACATATATGGGATTACCTGGGTCAACGCCTCTCACGTCGTCCGCAAGTATAGAACCTGAGAGAACTTGAAGATACACTACGTCAAGAGTGGAATGCCCCAGAACACTATTCGCAGACTTATTCGATCATTGAGAAGACGTTGCATGGCCTGTGTTGCTTTCAATGGCGGACATACCAGATATTGACTTTTCATTTTAACCCTATGTGTCTTCCTTACACTGATGACGTAAATGTAATTACTGTGTGGTATTCCTGTTACCTTTGTCGTCTTTCTTAATAATCCGTCTATGTCTGTTCTAATTAAAATCGGTCATTGCTCAAGTTGTTTTTGTTATATTTCAAGATTTATTGCTGTTGCGTTTTTAATGCTGTTCAGTATATTTCGCGAAATACGGTTATATTAAGAAGTGAACTTACTTAGCTCTTTAAATAATACATCTGCACACTTCGTTTTTTCGGTTCATGTTCGAAATGTTCGTACGCTGCACATGCTGTCCAGTATAAGGGCTCGCTGTCACCTGAGTGCCTCTCGCTGACTTGGTTGATGCATGTCATCGTATCCCAACTGCGTATATTGATGTTAATGATGTCAATCACTGGACTTTCTTGTCCAGACTCGATTATTTACAGACCGCCGTCATATAGCTGGAATATTGCTGAGTGCGGCGTTAAACAACAAATTCACGTGATCTAAACACAACGATGATGTTTATCTCTAGCAAAATGGATATTTCTAGAAAAGTGCACTTTGCAATTTTTGTCATTGCTGTAAATAATATTGCTTTTCGCCGGAATGGCTTGATTCACTTTATAAGTGTTTGTAGCTGTGCAGCTGTGCAGCTGTGGGGCGAGGAATGCAGCTGTGTGCGAGGACTGCAGCTGTTTTATTGTCTTTACTGAAATACTGCAGCTGATTTATTGTCTTTACTGAAATACTGCAGCTGTTTTATTGTATTTACTGAAATACTGCAGCTGTTTTGTTGTCTTTACTGAAATACTGCAGTTGTTTTGTTGTCTTTACTGAAATACTGCAGTTGTTTTGTTGTCTTTACTGAAATACTGCAGCTGTTTTGTTGTCTTTACTGAAATACTGCAGTTGTTTTGTTGTCTTTACTGAAATACTGCAGTTGTTTTGTTGTCTTTACTGAAATACTACAGCTGTTTTGTTGTCTTTACTGAAATACTGCAGCTGTTTTGTTGACTTTACTGAAATACTGCAGCTGTTTTGTTGTCTTTACTGAAATACTGCAGTTGTTTTGTTGTCTTTACTGAAATACTGCAGCTGTTTTGTTGTCTTTACTGAAATACTGCAGCTGTTTTGTTGTCTTTACTGAAATACTGCAGTTGTTTTGTTGTCTTTACTGAAATACTGCAGCTGTTTTGTTGTCTTTACTGAAATACTGCAGCTGTTTTGTTGTCTTTACTGAAATACTGCAGCTGTTTTGTTGTCTTTACTGAAATACTGCAGCTGTTTTGTTGTCTTTACTGAAATACTGCAGTTGTTTTGTTGTCTTTACTGAAATACTGCAGCTGTTTTATTGTCTTTACTGAAATACTGCAGCTGTTTTATTGTCTTTACTGAAATACTGCAGCTGTTTTATTGTCTTTACTGAAATACTGCAGCTGTTTTATTGTCTTTACTGAAATACCAGGTGTCTTGGTCTGTTGCAAGCAAATCTGTACACACCACAAATGAATTTTGAGAATTGAAACAGTTTTGCAGTTCAAGGCCGTTTTACCAAGTTTGAATTACCGGGTTTGGGTTTGTGCCAGACTTTTCACCAAGTTTCAACTTCTCGGTTTAGGATTTTTTCCACTTTTTTGAAACAATGTTTTTGTTTGGAATTGATAGCTGCGGTTGTCGACAAACTTTGACTTTTGTGGGGATTTAAGGCTTCAAAATGTTGTAAGTGTGAATGGAGAATGCCTTATTTGTAGCCAATATATATTTTTCTGCAGGTTACTGCAGGTTTCTGCAGGTTACATGTTGTAAAACGGTGAAGTTTGTATGTTTTATCAGCGGAAGATTTCGCTCGTTGTAACTGTTAATATCCGGTAAGTCCCACAATAATATCTATACTATGTAAACAATACTGTCTGCATTAAGGTGTAACAATATGGTATTTTCATGCTATTTTCACATGTATTTATTATTTCTTTTGTAGATTAATTTAATTTGGTTTGAACTTTGTACTTATTAGGCTTTGTTTATTTTATTACTTTGTGTACCCTTCTGACAAGTTTAAATTGGCACAGCTCCCATGTCCGAAAGCTATGGCCGATTAGGTGCCTCACTCTGGCAGTGTGTGTTCGAATCCCGGACGGGACGCAGCCCCAAAAGTACGAGCATCTGTACTTTACTAAGGGTTGTCCCAAATATAACATTTGTTACATTTTACCACTTTCTAAATGCCATCTTGTGTTCATAGCTTTCGACCATGGGAGCTGTGCCACTTTACACTTGACAGAGGGGTACTCAAAGTACGTGATCTAGACTACCAGTTGCCGGACTTTCTTTTTCTGGATGTCTCGGTGGCTGAGTGGGTGAGATCGCTGACTTTGTGTGCTGGCGATTAGGTGCCTCACTCTGGCAGTGTGGGTTCGAATCCCGGACGGGTCTCAACCCAAAAAGTACAAGAATCTGTACTCTACTAAGAAAGTGTTATCCCAATTATGGCATGTGTTACCTCCCTTTTGTTTTCACCATCACGGCTCATTCGCGACCAACTCGTGTTATTCCGGGACAAGTTACGGAAAGGAGCGAGTGGTGACGAATGCATCACGGCTGTTCCGTAACCACTCGCAATGTCGTAACCTGCAATTTGGCCTTTCCGGGAACGCGTGTTCTCGCCTAACATGCCTTGGGCACGAATACTAAGCCCATGTCTGTGATATCACACGACTTGATATAACCAGAATAACGCCAAAAGCGGCGTAAAGCAATATTTTTTTCACTCTCACCAAATGAAGCTGATGTTCGTTTAAAACAAACACTGAAGTTTAGAACCACAATAGATGTCATCCCACATGGGACGGGACGGGCAACACGCCACGATATAAGTTCTTTTGACTTACAGCTACTATTGACACATTTTCTATGTTCTACAGCCGTAGTGGGGCACCTGTTCAAATTACTGGTAAGCCAGGACAAGTTAAGCCCGTATGACCTGACAATTAACCCCCTATGACTCAATGAGGTCTGCCCACTGGCAGGTACCATTTTGAAGAAAGGGGTAGCGGGTGGTCCGCGACATTTAGTGCTATGGATATGTGCGTATCCTGTCTGGGCTTACAACGAGTTCTAGTGGCGAGTTCAAAATCACATAATAGTACGTGCTGATGTGGGGTACCCTATGACTGAAAATGGATACATGTTTATTTGTTTGTAATGTACTTCGATCAAACGACTTTTAAGGGAATTCTGGTAGCGACTTGTCACACCGACCTCTTAATAGTCTTAAGAGCAACACGTGTGTCCAGGGGAGCGTTGTCAGTTTCACCGTCATGTCCTGCACGTGCACTACATGCGTACACCCTCTCTACCCGTTACAAACAAAATATATTTGCCCAAATTCTGTGCCCGGTTTTCTTGTCTCAAACGCGGTTTGTGAGCTGGTTTACGTATAGGGTTGAAATGGTCTTTTTACTAACAAAAAACTGACAAGACTTCAAGGTACAGGTGATGTTTTCTTTTAATGCTAGATGGGGAAGAACACGGTGTCGGTCAGCGTGGCGTCACCGACACATCCACTGCAGTAAGTTGTTGACACAAGGCACTGGCGACGTCAGACGTTCACACTCACACAACGTTTCCTTTCACGGGATACACAGCTCCACCGGCCATCCGAGTTAATGGTTCAAGGGTGGAATGGCCAGGACGATTGTGAACAAAAACAGGCTTGAAGCGTTCAAGGGGATCTGTTTGTTTACTCAAGCATGCTGAGTGGTCGATTTATTTCAATGACAGGCTAAAAAGGTGTTGTGTTTCTGGTCCCTCCGGGTCATTTCCAAACCCCCGCGTCTGTAATCTTTCCAGATAATAAACCAAGGGCAGGCATCTCTAAATTGCCGACCAAAACCGGAAAGTAACGTTAAATTTATTTTTAAACCACTATTATGCTTGGCAAACCAAATGTCTAAACATCACGTCATTTCGGAAAAAAACAAAACAAACAGAAACATGAAGGTGTTTTTAGTCGTACAGAGTGTCTGAGAAATATATTTCTCTAATGATAACTGAAGAAGTCCTGCCGCATTCAGTCTGTGAAATGTTCCGTCACACAACAGAAGGATGTTGGTAGGACCGTGGATAACCAAGTCAGTGTATATATCCAACGTCATTCGTTTCCCAGCAGTCTGAGTGAGAATGTTGTGTTGATGTCTCGTTTATAGTGTGACCGACACACAGGAACCTCGTTAATCCATCACCCGTCTGGATAACCGAGTGTTGATACTCTCCGGGACACAACACGATTGTTACGGCGTGCAATTTCGGTCCGGTGCCGACATGAAAATCTGACCTCTAAAAGTAAAAGTTTCCATTTTAAAAGGGTCCGAATTACCAGGTAGCATTGTAGGATGTTTTCCGACCAGTGGATAGACTTAGCTGAGCGCATGCGTAGCTTCCAATGACTTCCTGTTTCAACTCACTCGCACGTGACAGCGGCAGATTTCAAGCCGGGGCACTGGCGGGCGCCGAAGTTGTTGTGTCTACAAGCGTCCAGTCTAGTCTCCGTGCCGCGACACTGGACATTGGTCATCCACAAGGATCTGGAGTTACGTGACCGATCACGTGAGTTTCTCATCCAACCAGCAGTGTAGCCCATCTGTTGACAAGCTACCTGAGCCTCGTTTCGGCCAAAGCCGTGTGAACAAATTGGCATCCATCTTGAGCTGTGATAGATCTCAACCAGGCCAGTATTCACGTCGTTGCTTTCTTCAAAAGCAACCAGGCGCAGCATGTGATCTAGAACAGAGGAATACATACGTTTACAGACTGATATTTAGTCCCAGAAATAAAGTTATCTTATATAAATAAATATAGATACAAAATAAAATAATAAAATCGAAACGGAGCGCACAACATACTTAATTTTAGGGCTAAAGCAACCAAGACTTGTCCAATCATTCTACACTTGAGTTTGACTTTTTAAAAATTATTTTCAAAAAGGGTGAGGTGACTTATAGGTGTAGAGTTCGCGAACTATGGTTGCTACTGCTCAAACCATATGTGTCGCATTCATTACTGATGTCAAGGCAGTTACGTCAATGATAACGTACATGTAACTGGACATTCGTTACAGATAATGTACGAGCCAGCGACATTGGCAGACGGATTGGGGTGTGAGGGCACATTGGTGAGTGAGTATGGTTTTACGCCGCTTTTCGCAATATTCCAGCAATATCACGGTCGGCGACACCCGAAATGGACTTCACACATTGTACCTATGTGAGGACGAGCGAACACCTTAACAACTAGGCTACCCCACCGCCCCACGTGGAACATACACAACTGAATTCAAACCTACCTAGCTTCAGAAAGTTACTAAAGATACTAAATGGGTAAAATTGCGTCTTTGACAGCAATTAGGTTTAGAATGACCTACACTATATTATATCCCGTTTCCGTATCGTAACTATAATACATTAGGAATTAAAAATATGTATACAATATACAATCTTTATTCATATTTACGATTCGGAAAGACACTAATTTACAACCGAATATCGAACACACGCTGTTTTATAAGTGTTACTTGAGGATGCCAAAAGTTTGGCCCATCCGGAACTGAAACACGAACCGACATGATTGGGGTAACGGGGTAATCGCGCCGGAAGATGAGGTTTCCATAGTTACTTATTTCAGGCTGAGGGTTTCCCACAGCATGTGCTTGATGGGAGGTAAAGTAGATGTCTGGGGGTAGACGGAGCCAAGTCACGTTCTGTTAATTACCACTGGTGCAGTTAGACTCCCGCGATTTACGATGTTACGATGTGAAGAACGCCTTTGTATAAACGATGATGGGGCATGCTAAAGTTTACTGTCTGGCAAGAATGTTAAGTTTGTTAGTGAGCCGGGAACGTGAGAGGTATCTCTACGCCACGTTTAACACTTGGGACAATAACGCTCTGAAACATCGGTTTTATATGCAGTGGTTCAAGCATTTTACGACCAGGCATGCTTCTATACCTCTACCAAATTTGAAAGAAATCTTTTGGATGACAATCTGTTAATATCCTAGAATGTGAATCTGTAACCCTGTATGTACGATAAAAAATATATGAATTCAAAACTTCAAGGCCTGAAAAAAGTCTCGATTAGCTGCCGGAACACATTCCATTGGGCGTAAAAGGCAAAACAGTGATGAAAATAATAGGAATGGATCGCTGGAAATCAGAGATTACACCAGGTGTTCGCGACAAGGGTAGCGTGTCCTGCTCTACAGGTAGCACCCGCCACTCAAAGTGTGCATTAAATGTAAATGTATGTTAACTAATGCCGCACCCAGCAATACTCCCGCAATACGACGGTGGCGTGTAAACAATCGAGTCTGGACCAGATAATCCAGTGAAGCATCCAACAGCGATTAAATACAGTGTGTATATTGCTTAATGATGTGCAGTATGTATAGTTTTACTGTACGCCATACGTTTTCTTATCGAACCCACGCCAGAAACCTATGATTGTGGGTTCGAATCCCGGTTCGCCCCGATAATGTTTCTAGGTTTGTCAGCACCATACCCGTGCTCGTGGGTCTCAAGTGGTAAACGTCTGAGATCTGCATCACTTCGGGCTTTCCTCCCACATTAAGCTGACACGCCGTGATGTAACTGGAATACTGTTAAAAGCGGCGTTAAATCTAACTCACTCACTCACTTATCGAACTGTAATCAACGACCACGTGCAATGCCAAAATATATGGTACAGAGGAATCACATACTTGCGTCCGACATGAATATGAAATTTAACATTGAGATTTCCCTTGTTCAGTACAATTTTCAATATCCCAGTCGAACGTGTGCTTTACAGAGTTTACAAACTGTATAGTTCTAGATTCCTCCTAAATTGCCGGGCAGAAGAAAATATAGACCCATTTTTGATGAGGGCTAACAATGAAACAAACAAGAAATGGTTATTTGATACAGGTATCATAGTTGTGTTTTTGGGCCTCATGTTTGCAGTGTTTCAGCGACTGTTTTTATCCAAGTAAAGTTTTGATGGTGGCTAGAAGTGCTGCACGTGCTTTTTCTGAACCAACCGCTTGTGTTTTGGACCTTAAGTCTGCGATGTTTCGGCGACTGTCACCAGCCTAGTGACGTTTAGATGACGTTTTTGTTTAGTCAAATTCAATATTCAAGTGTATAATTTCTCTGGCATGTCAGTTTTGTCCGACATTTTGTATGAACAGAAAAGCAATCTTGGCTGAAGTACCGGTACACATGTAGTGTGATCGAAGAATGCATATTTTGTACAGATGTCGCATGATATGGAAACACATTCAGTGGCCAGACCAACTGTAACGGTGGCTAGTATGGAAAGCATCTCGTGGTTCCTCTCACCCGTACGTTATTATTTGCTTTACTTTTCTTGTTTATGAATGTTTTGCCTCAAATCTAGCGTAAAAGATTATCAGACCTTTCAAAATCGTTTTTAAAAAGTTGAGAAAAAAGCCCAACTTCTGTATATTTCACTCCTCAGTTTTGTGAAATGTGACAGGAATGTTCGAAAATTGAAAACGTTAACTAGGAAAAAAGAAACGAGCTACTTGGGGTACAAGTGAACCTGATTATTGTAGCGGACATCATTGAGCGTATATTAGTTGTCCGGATCAGGTATGGACACAAATTGCCTGATTGTCCCTCTATGAGAGCGATATCAAGGCTAAGCGAGGATAAAACAAATTTTAAACTGGAATTATTTGTTTCCTCATTCCTGATTCTCAGGGTCAGTGGTTCCATAAACCCAGTCGTAGAGAAATAAAACACCTTATTGCCAAAGTTGAGCACGTCGGTCGCTCGGTGTGAGCTCCTGCAATGGCGGACTGTGTTCCTGAACGATACTCATGATTATTAGGATGACGTCATGCTTCTCAGATACTCTTCTCTACAAGAGGAAATCCTATAATTAATCTCACAGAGATGAAAGCGAATGAAGTAAGAATCACTTTTAGCTTCACTAAGAAGGAATTTGCACCGAGTGACTGGAAGTTTAATTAGTAAACAGGCTCCGCTCCGGCCGAGAACAGGTGCCCGAGTGCTAGCGATGCCTACGCTCTTGTGTGGAGCTGTGTTTGCAAAGGTACACTTATCACATACATGTTTATTTGTTTGGCATTTGAAATAACACCAAAACGCGAACTGAAATAAACAAATCTTATTTTGCTTCAAAATGAATGTTTTTACATAAAAACAAACACACACACACATATAACTGAAGCAGTATCCCATTAAGTTGAAATAGTTCCTGGTATTATTTCAAATTCTACGTGTCAGTGACTCAAACTAGAACCCGGACCTTAAGATTTGTTTCGTTTGTTTGTTGTTCAACGCCGCACTCAGCAATATTGCACCGATATGACGGCCGTCTGTAAATATTTGAGTCTGGACCAGACAATCTAGTCCTCGCCATGACTGTGGAATATATTTATTTTATGAAAACAGCATCAGGAAAATTATTTGTTTTAATTTTAGGGGAGAGAAGTATATTGTGTAATATAAGATTTCATAGACTATATGTTATGACTGACATAATGAGCATCGATTTACGCAATTGGGATACGATGACATGCATCAACCAAGTCAGCGAGCCTGACCACACGATCCCTCTAGTCGCCACGTACGACAAGCATGGGTTGCTGAAGATCATGTTACGGTAAGTATGCACCTGATGAAGCCACCGTCATGTATAATGTTACGGTAAGTTCGAACCTGATGCAGCCATCGTTATGTATAATGTTACGGTACGTATGAACCGGATGAAGCCACTGTTAGGTATAATGTTATGGTAAGTACGAACCGGATCCAGCCACTGTTATGTATAATGTTACGGTAAGTACGAACCGGATGCAGCCACCGTTATGTATAATGTTACGGTTAGTTCGAACCTGCTGCAGCCACCGTTATGTATAATGTTACGGTTAGTACAAATTTCATGCAGCCACTGTTATGTATAATGTTACGGTAAGTACGAACCGGATGCAGCCACCGTTATGTATAATGTTACGGTAAGTTCGAACCTGCTGCAGCCACTGTTAGGTATAATGTTATGGTAAGTACGAACCGGATCCAGCCACTGTTATGTATAATGTTACGGTAAGTACGAACCGGATGCAGCCACCGTTATGTATAATGTTACGGTAAGTTCGAACCTGCTGCAGCCACTGTTATGTATAATGTTACGGTAAGTTCGAACCTGCTGCAGCCACCGTTATGTATAATGTTACGGTAAGTTCGAACCTGATGCAGCCACTGTTATGTATAATGTTACGGTAAGTTCGAACCTGATGCAGCCACCGTTATGTATAATGTTACGGTAAGTTCGAACCTGCTGCAGCCACCGTCATGTATAATGTTTCGGTAAGTTCGAACCTGATGCAGCCACCGTTATGTATAATGTTACGGTAAGTTCGAAACTGCTGCAGTCACCGTTATGTATAATGTTACGGTAAGTTCGGACCTGATGCAGCCACTGCTATGTATAATTTTACCGGAAGCAGTCAGGTGCATAATTCGTTGTCCTATATTATGTTACAGTAAGTACGCACCTGCTACAGACGCCGTTCTGTATAACGTTACAGTACAAGCATATGTTTTGACCTCTCTGCGCACATGACAGAGGGCCGCTAACAGATTGCCTTGTAGCTGGCCGCTATGACAACAAACAAGCGTTCTCAATGCGCGTGCGGACCTAAACTCACAGTTGATATTTGTAGGCGTTCCCCGCGGCAGTCGTTAAGACAACACTTTTCTTGATAAGCAACAACCATTAAGGTGCCAGGCACACTCTGTCCGTGTACTGTTATTGATTGATGGAGACAAAGCCAGGGATACTGTGTTTTACATTCACAGTATAAGTAACCCTGGAAGGAGGTGTGGGGAAGGAGGTATGGGGGTGGGGAGGTGTTCATGGGGATCGACTTCCTCCTGAAAAGTACTCTTGACTCAAACACTCCTCATCTCAACCCACACCCCTCCCTCTGCAAGTCTTAAAAGATTACCATTTTGGTGAAATCCTCCACCACGTATGGCACTGAATATCTTTGAAACATACTTAGGTCGCCTTAGGGACGTACACTGGACGCCTGTGACTCATTTTTGCACTACAGAATAATTATCTACGTTTCGGAATATAACTCACCACAAATAACCGCAAAATCCCCATGGTGGCTGCAAGACTTGGCCTCGTTGTCCAGTGATATAACCGGGCACTGGAAGGTGCGCAGACACGTTACGTTAAAATCCCAGTTGATACCGGAACCGGAACCGAACTGCCCCCTGCCGGCCGCAATACCACCAAGATATCCAAGATGGCGGCAAATGGCGGAGGCGTCAGTGTGACCAAGGCTTGTGTTGCAGATGGTGCCCCACTGGCCCTTATGGTAGATCTCCACCCGGCCTTCGTTAACATTCCGTCCATCCACCAGGGTGATGAGCGGCTCTGAAATATACAACGTATTGGAGTTTTATGCACAGTTACTGACAACAGTGGTTGTGAAATATACAATGTTATCGTCATTTTATGTACAGTTGTTGACATCAGTTCCTGGGAAATATACAACGTTATCGTCATTTTATGTACAGATATTGACATCAGTGGCTGGGAAGTATACAACGTTATCGCCATTTTATGTACAGATATTGACATCAGTGGCTGGGAAATATACAACGTTATCGACATTTTATGTACAGTTATTGACATCAGTGGCTGGGAAATATACAACGTTATCGACATTTTATGTACAGATATTGACATCAGTGGCTGGGAAATATACAACGTTATCGACATTTTATGTACAGTTATTGACATCAGTGGCTTGGAAATATACAACGTTATTGCCATTTTATGTACAGTTATTGACATCAGTGGCTGGGAAATATACAACGTTATCGTCGCTTTATAAAAATTTACTGACATAAGCGGCTGGGAAATATACAGCCTTATATGATATCTACAGTTACTGAATCCAGAGGGTATGAAATGTACATTATCATCATTATGTCTACAGTTACTGACATCAGCGGTTCTGAAATATACAACCTCATCGTGATTACATTTACGTGACTGCCATAAGCGGCTGGAACATATACAGCTTCCTATCATATCTACATGAATTTATCTATCTCAACATCTTTTTAATATGCAACATAGATTCATTATTAATCATATTTCAATAATAGCCTTACTGAAAATCATTAAGCGCCTCATTTGTGATATTGAGCTGTATTTTAACGCCGCTTCGAACAGAGTGTCGGTTATATGACTGCCTGTCTTGTCGTCAGTGACACACATTTCAGACGTTCACCACTTTGGTAAAACCCACGACCACGGGCACTGGGCTGACAAATCAACGATCGTAGTAGGGCGCATTTAGGATTCGAACCCACGACCAGCCAATCCACTTCAGACTACATGGCCACCCGAGCTCATATATCGGCTTTGAACAAACACCTGTCTAGAAATCATTTGGAAATAAATGCATGTCTTGCATAAAAGTCTTTTAAATGTTCCCTTTTAAAGAAATTAATTCCAGTAAATATTTTCGGGAATTCGGAAATTGATAAATGTAATTATCAAATCAGTGGGCAACGAGATATTATAACGAGAAAAGATAATATTAAATGTCCCTTCTATTTTGTCAATTTATGATAACATTATTTAATTTCAAAGAGGCATATCTTCTCTACCTTGAACGAAAAACTGGGTTTAAAGAAAGGCAGTGCCGAGGAGATTTCCTGGCTCTTATCAAAGGCTTAACGGTACTCAGTTTCATTACGAGGAAGGCAGGGGTATAGGAGTTTATAAAACATATGTGAACAATGTGTTCCAGGCGCATGAAACAGACGGACACAGATGTTTTTACAATCACGTGACATGTTGACGTTGCCGTGAAGGTCATCCGTGAAGCGTGACGTAGACAACACGACGATATTGACGTATTCTGGCTATACAGTAAACTACGGTTATAACGAACACGCTTATAACGAACTGACGGATATAACGAACTTACTTTTTTGGTTCCGACTATTTGCTGTAGTTATGATGTATATATGCTTATAACAAACTACGGTTATAACGAACTAAAATTAGTAGTCCCTTTGAGTTCGTTATAACCGTACTTTACTGTACTTAAAAGGTTGACATCGAAGACATTATTTTGAACATTGTCAATTAAATATTCGTTTGGCCTATATGCTGTTGAAATATACATTAACAATGGAGGACAGAACCAGTCTAGATTATCTGCTGGAGTGAGTGAGTGAGTGGGGTTTTACGCCGCTTTTAGCAGTATTCCAGCAATATCACGGCGGGGGACACCAGAAATGGGCTTCACACATTGTACCCATGTCGGGAATCGAACCCGGGACTTCGGCGTGACAAGCGAACGCTTTAACCACTAGGCTACCCCACCGCCCCTTATCTGCTGAAACAAATTCCATTTCAAAATCGCTTTAGAAATTATATGAATGGTCTACTGAAAATCAGTTATGACACCAGGTGTTCGCGAAAAGGGTAAACATGTCCTGCTCTACCGGTAGCACCCGCCATTTACACAATTTGGATAAAAAGTATAAGTAGTTATTGCCAGACAATGCACATCAAGATTCCTGCCATGCGTCTGCGGTAAACAAACCAGACAATCAAGTGATCGATGAACCAGAAAAATCTAGTGACACGATAGTGCATTCACTGATTTTGTTGAAACGAATAAAAACGATATGATAATTTTAGTGATGACACCAGGTGTTCACGAAAAGGGTCAGCCTGACCTTACCTATCGGTCACAATAGGATATTGAGTAACCATGGACACGAGTGAGTGAGTATGGTTTTACGCCGCTTTTAGCAATATTCCAGCAATATCAGGGCGGGGGACACCAGCAATAGGCTTCACACATTGTACCCATGTCGGGATTCGAACCTGGGTTTTCGGCGTGACGAGCGAAATCTTGAACCACTAGGCTACCCGACCGCCCCTCCATGGACACGATATCACCCTTCATACTTACTGGTACGCTACGACGTTTGGTTTAACATAGGGGTGTTATTACTGGTATTTATTAATTAAAACATTGTATTGTAAAAATGGTACGAGTTGAAAATTCTTATATGAACGTTGTATCTATACAATGTTAAAAAAACGAGAATTGGACGGTGTTTCCGAATTTGAGAGTTATTCACAGTAATAAAGCTCATTCATGTAAACTCTTGTATGATTGGGGGCGGTCGGGTAGCCTAGTGGTTAAAGCGTTCGCTCGTCACGCCGAAGACCCGGGTTCGATATCCGACATGGGTACAATGTGTGAAGCCCATTTCTGGTGTCCCCCGCCGTGATATTGCTGGAATATTGCTAAAAGCGGCGTAAAGCCATACTCACTCACTCACTCACTTGTATGATTGTATTATGAGCTGTACTGAATACATTGACTGTCTCTCTGAAATACTGCCAATGCGACTCCTGATTGCAACTCACTCCTTCACTCACTCACTCACTGAAGATATTTCTGTAATGTAAATGTTGTGTTAATTTAGAGTGAGTGAGTATGGTTTGACGCCGCTTTTAGCAATATTCAAGCAATATCATGGTGGGGGACACCAGAAATGGGCTTCACACGTTGTACCCATGAGGGGAACCGAACCTGGGTCTTCGGTGTGACGAGCTAACGCTTTAACCACTAGGCTACCCGACCGCCCCGTTCATTAAGAGCTGGGTCTCGTTCCATAAAGCAACGTCAGCACTAAGATGAGTGTTACTACCATAGTTTAACATAGGCTTACGACAGTCGTAGCGCTGAGGTCGCTTTCTTGAAAAAGGCCCTGGTCGCATTTTCTGGTATTTCCCAAACTCACTCAGGAAGTGTCAGAATTCGGGTGTGTAGCATGATGGGACGTTATCACATCAGCTGCATCCTCTCGCAAACAATGGTCCAGTCATGCCAGTGTGGTGAGACTGTCAAGTCACCTGGATCTCCCCATCGCCGACATACTCGCAGTGTCCGACAGGAAATGGGCGGTATGTAGATGCCTGATGCTGAACAGTCTCTGGCTTCATGGAAGGTAACACAGGAATTTGGTTTTATGAACCAACAAGGGAACAGTCTCATTAACAGCTGATCTCAGTGCTCGCTACCGTTAGACAATGGTCTGAGGACATCCGAGTACAGGTCATGTCAAAACTATGTATCATCAGAACGAAGTATCTGTGTATCTTTGAAACCCAGAACTGTAGAAACAAAGCGACAAAACCCTTCGTTTTCATATCAATGAGATATGAGGTGGTGATCCATACAGACTAAAACAGATTCAGTTGTTACACGTTTTGCTATTAATGGAAAACGTCTCAACACCGTGTGCACTGTGGATGCAGCGTTTCTGTAGTTGACACCCCCCGTCAAGGGGAGTATACACTGACGCTGTGTGAGACGGTCCCCGTCAAGGGGAGTATACACTGACGCTGTGTGAGACGGTCCCCGTCAAGGGGAGTATACACTAACGCTGTGTGAGACGGTCCCCGTGAAGGGTTTTACCATCTAGACTCGCCCCGCACATACACATATTCTCCCGATATGCACGATAACAACGATAAAGATACATGTGACTTTAACACCAAAATAAACGTGAACAAGGTGGGTATTCTCTCGGAAGTTATCATCAACACCTTTAAATGTTGTCCAATCGATAGACTGACCCCAGTCCATTCCTACCCGCCCTTATCCCCACACAGACCCTCCGCCCCCTAGCCTGTCTCACAGTCCTTCAACCATACTCGTTCCTTCCGCCCAGCCCCTACTGTAATGCTACATAGCCCTAAATGAAGCAAGTCTAGATTTTCCACACGTCTCCCCCAACTCACTGGGGTTACTTTTCAGTTTTAATAAAGTTGTTTGTTTCTTTCAAAGCTAGGGATACAGGGCAAGTCGTCTAAGGAGCCGCAATTCGCTGTGCAGAGTTGCGTCCCTTAGGCACGAGAGAAACATATGATCGTAGGTTCGAATCCCGGTCGCCCACATCATATTTCTAGGTTTATCATCATCATACCCGTGGTCTTGGGGTTAGCCAAAGTGGTAGACGTCCTAGACCTGCATCACTTCGGGCTTTCCTCCCACATTGAATTGACATGCCATGATATAACTGGAATACTGTTCAAAGCGGCGTTAAACCTAACTCACTTATTCTACCAAAGTTACTTATTTTCAGGGACTAAGCGGTAATCTAACACGGTAGTTCAACACACAACCCTGCACTCGGTATAAAGGGGCTGCACATTTTCATGTCGAACGTTTCTTCCATGGCTATAGGACTCAGCTGCATCCGCTATCAGCCCCCTCACATGCCTGGCCTCTCCCACAGATTGTATTTAGGTTGTTGTGTTTTTATCAGTATGGCTTCATGCTCATTTAATACATCTTATATCTCGACTGCCTTGATAACACGCGATAC